TGTGTGTGTGTGTGTGTGTGTGTGTGTGTGTGTGTGTGTGTGTGTGAGAGCAGCATAGGTTTACCAACATGATACCTGAACTTCCAAGAGTTATGTTAGGAGGAGAAACTGTACAACTTTTAGTTTTATTTCCTGGAATTTACAAGGTTAAGGAGAAATTTGAGCAAAGTTTTCAGGATGTTAGGCGGATCAGATCAAGAAGCTTTATAGAAACTATTTCTGTCAGTCTCTGGCTAGAGGTCAAAGTGCAAAGTTTAGAGCCAAACGCTTTGGGAGTGAAATTAGGAAACATTTCCACAATCAGAAGATGGTAGATGTTGGAAATTCTATGACGACAGATCAATTGTTAATTCTAAATCTGAGAGCGATGGATATTTTTTGTTAAGCCAAGGGGTGAAGGCAGGTTTGTGAAGTTAAGTCACAGGTAAGCTTTGATCACAGTAAATGGCAGAGCTGGACTGAGGGGCTGAAATGCCTTCTCCAGTTCCTATCTTCCAATCACACTTGAAGAATGAGAATTAGACGAGGAACCAAGTCACACGCACATTGCTTCATGGTTGGCTTTGGACACAGGGGATGACTGCACACACATTGTTATTCCAACTGGTTTAAAGGCAAACATCATTGGATTGCCAAGCACATCACTGTGTGCGTCTATATTCGCCGCTCCTCTACTAGACACCCAGAGCCAGTGGACCTGTATCCCAGCGAGCTAGCACCTTCAGGAACAGAGCACAGGAGGCTGGGGGTGGGCACACTGAGATGAATTCACTTTCACTCACCCAACATTATAGCATCCACAGCCCCACCAGGGCAAAACTCGATGAGGATCTGTGAAGGAAACGAGAAGGGGTTATGATCTCATGTGCTAAAGTGCCCACTGCAATTTCCAAAGCTGAGCGCTTAGAATGTGGAGTGGTCCGTCCCAAGGCGAACACAAAGCAGGTCACATTGACCCTATTTCAATTCAGATCCAACGCAGACACCAGAACAATGGGAACGGAGGAAGGCTAGGTCAAGCTCACATAGGCTGTCGCTGAACAGGAAGGCCAAATAGCTTTGTCTTTTGTATTGTGAATTCTGCATAATTTTACATTATTACCTCGTGCCTCAATAGATACCATCTTGATCCAGCGGAATTATTGAAGTGTGGACAAGACCCCATCTTTTGATCAGAAAGGTTCTTACACACTACCACTGTACCACAAGATCCCTCCTCATACACAGTCAATTAAATGGGGCTATGAGCGAAAAAAAGCAGGGGAACACATTTGTAAGACTTTTTGAAGGAGCAAGCGCAGGCCCAGCTCGCGGACTGGCATTGTTCTGTGCTGTGGTTCAGTGGTTAGCACTGCTGCCTCATAGCGCCAGGGATTCGGGTTTGCACGTTCTCCTTATGTCTACACGGGTTTCCTCCAGCTGCTCCGGTTTCTTCCCACAGTCCAAAGATGTGCAGGTTAGATGGACTGGCCGTGGGAAATTGGCCCCCAGTGACTAGGATGTACAGGTTAGGATTAGCCATGGGAAATGCAGAGTTACAGGAGTAGGGAGGTGGCCTGGGTGGGATGTTCTTTGGAGGTCTGGTGTGGACTTGATAGGCCGAATGGCTTGCTTCCACACTGTAGGGATTCTGTGAATCCACGATCAGGATGTAGATCACAATAACCACCAACCCTCCCTCCCCCCCTACAGGATATAATTTCGGGAGGTTAGGAAAAGAGTGGCGCCCACTTTTCATACCACCTTCCTTTCATGACTCACCCACAGGCTGTTTCCGTAGTAGAAGGCATCGAGAAGTTTAACAATGTTGGAGTGATTACATGAGGCCAGAATCTCAATTTCCACCATGTAATCTTCGAGCTCCTCCTCATCCAGTGAACTGATCACCTTGGCAGCTGCAATGGCCCCAGTCTCCCTGTTCTGCGCCTTTCGGGTAGAGAGTAAGAGTCATAAGTCCACAGGAAATAGGAAACAGGAGCAGGCCATTCATCCCCTTGATCGTGCTCCACCCTTCAGTAAAAATCATGGCTGATCCAATATTCCTCCAGTCCACTTTATCCGTGTAACCCTTGATTCCCTGTTTGATCAAGAATCTATCGATCTCAGCCTTAAATATACACAAGGACTCTGCCCCCACAGCTCTCTGTGGCAAGGAGATCCAAAGACTCCCAACCCTCCGAGAGAAGAAATTCCTCCTCATCTCAGTCTTCAGTTGGTGCCCCCTTTATTCTGGGGCTGTGCCCTCTGGTCCTAGACTCTCCCATGAGGGGAAACACCCTCTCAGCATTGACCCTGTCAAGTCCTTTAAGAAACCTACACGTTTCAATGAGATCGCCTCTCACTCTTCCAAACTCCAGTGAGAAGAATCCCAAACCGTTTAATATTTGCTCATAAAACAATCCCTCCTTACCGGGGATCACCCTAATGGACCTTTTCTGAAACAGCCTGCAATGAAACGATATCTTTCCTTAAATAAGGGACAAAAATTGCTCACAGTACTCCAGAAATGGTCTCCCCAGCACCTTGTCCAGTTGTAGACAGACTTCCCCACTCTTATACTCCAACCTCTTTGAAATAAGGGCCAACATTCCACTAGCCCTTCCCTATTCCCTACTGTCCCTGTGTGCTAGCTTTCTGTGTTTCGTGTACAAGTGCCTCCCCCCCCACCACCCCTTCTGAGTCCCTTTGTGATGCAGCTTTCTGGATTTAAATAATACTCCGTTCTTTTGCTGTCCCTTCCAAAATGAAACAACTTCACATTTTCCCACCTTATACCCCATTTGCCAACCTTTTACCCACTTACCTAACGTATCTGTCAACTTGTTTGTATATCTCTCGCAGCCTGCTTTTCCAACTAGGTTTCGTGTCAGATCTGGCGACACTACACTCCCTTCTTTATTCCAAATCTTGCTCTTGCACACGGCAAGGTTGTTTTCCCTCAAGTCTCCCTCTGAGTTCCTTCTGAAATCTGCAGTTCAATTTAGATCAATGCAACTTATTGCATTTTGGTGGGTCAAGCTGGGGCAGGACTTACACAATCAATGGTAAGGCCTTGGGGAGTGTGATAGACAAAGAGGGGTACAGATTCATAGCTCCTTGAAAGTGGAGTCACAGGTAGACAGGATGGTGAAATAGGCTTTCGGTACACTTGCTTTCAGCATTGAGTATAGGAGTTGGGGTGTCATGTTGCAAAAGTACAAGGTGTTGGTGAGGCCACATTTGGAGTACTGCATGCAGCTCTGGCTGCCCTACTAAACAGAGGATACTATTAAACTGGAAAGAGTTCAGAAAAGATCTATTTGTGTGCTACTTGGACTGGAAGGTTTGAGTAATAAAGAGAAGTTGGATAGGCTGGGACATTTTTCCCTGGAGCGTAGGACACTGAGGGGTGACTTTATAGAAGTCTACAAAATCATGAGAGGCACAGATAAGGTAGATAACCAATGGCTTTTCTAGACAGTAGAGGAGTCTAAAACTGGAGGGCATAGGTTTAAGGTGAAGGGGGAGAGATACAAAAAGGTCCAGAGGGGTAATATTTTCACACAGAGGGTGGTGAATGTCTAGCTATCAGAGGTAGTGGTGAGTACAATTTTGTCATTCGAGAAACATTCCGACAGACACATGGATGGGATGGGTATGGAGGGATATGGACCAAATGCAGGCGAATGCGACTCAATCAATTGTGAAAACTGGGTCGGCATGGACAAGTTGGGCCGAATGGCCTGTTTCCCTGTTGTGGACCTCTAAATCATTCATCGTCATCTGCTTCCACTGGCCTCATGAGTTCCACCTCATTAACAATTGGTCTCTAATAAAGGTTACAAATCTGTGCCTCTCGCGTCACCCATCACCTAATAGGAACAGCTTTTCTCTTCTACCTGGTCTAATCCTGTCTGAATGTTGTAGCCCTCTGTCAAATCTTCCCCTCAATCTCCTTTTGCTCTAAGGGGAACAACTCCAGCTTTTCCGACCAAATCCCTCAACCCTGGGACCAATCTGGTCGATCCCCTCCACACCCTCTCGACGAGCCTCACGTCCTTCCCCAGTACTTTTAAAAAATGGTTCCACTACCTCTCCCTATCCAATTACATCATTAATGTTGCTGAGAGATGATTTCTTTGCCGTCATAGAGTCACAGAGCTGTACAGCATGGAAACAGACCCCTCAGTCCAATGTGTCTATGCTGAACAGGTATCCTAAATTAATCGAGTCCCATTTGCCAGCATTTGGCCCGTATCCCTCTCAACCCTGTACCCATCCAGATGCCTTTTAAGTGCTGTCATTGTACCAGCCTCCACCACTTCCTCTGGCAGCTCGTTCCATACACGCTCCACCCTCTGCGGGGAAAAGTTGCCCCTCAAGTCCCATTTAAATCTTTCCCCTGTCACCTTAAACCTATGCCCTCTAGTTTTGGACCCTCTTACCCTGGGGAAAAACACCTTGACCATTCATCCTATCCATGCTCCTCGTGATTTTATAAATTTCCATAACGTCACCCCTCAGCCTCCGACGCTCCAGGGAAATTAGCCCCAGCTTCTCCCTGTAGCTCAAAACCTCCAACCCTGGCAACATCCTTGTAAATCTTTTCTGAACCCTTTCAAGTTTCACGACATCCTTCCTGTAGCATGGAGGCCAGAATTGAATGCAGTTTTCCAAAAGTGACCTAACCCCCAATGTCTTGTACAGCCACAACATGACCCTCACAACTCCTAACTCAATGCACTGACCAATAAAAGCAAGCGTACCAAACACCTTCTTCACCGCCTTGTCTACCTGTGACTCTACTTGCAACGAGCTATGAACCTGCATCTCCAAGATCTCTTTGTTCAGCAACACTCCCCAGGACTTTACTATGAAGTGTATAAGTCCTTTTGGTGTCTAAAGACTTCCTGGGTTGTAGCTGCTGCTTATCACGAAGGGGAAAGAATATAGGGAGGGCCCGATACAGTTGCACAAGGCACTGGTGAGACCCTATCACGCAAACTGTAGACTCGCTTTATTTTTGAAAACTTACACTCGAAACAGTTCTCATTCCTGGATTATCTCCTGAGGACAGATTGAACCATTAGGCCGATACCCATTAGAGTTCAGAAGAATGAGAGGTGACCTTATTGTTGCATATAATTTCCTGGAGGAACTTGATAGAGTGGATGCTGGGCTGATGTTTCTGCTGACGGAAGAGACAAGTACTTGGGGGCATGGTTTAAAAATAACCAAGACATTTCTTTTCCCCTCTGTCAGAGGATCGTGAATCTGTGGAAATTTCTGTGTGTTATTATATTTCCGAAAAGCTGTGTTAGACAGGGAGCAAGGATAATGGGAGGCAGGCAGGAAAGTAGAGGTGAAGCCATATCAGATCAGCCATGATTTCGCTGAATGGTGTATCAGGCTTAAGAGGGCTGAATGGCCTACTCCTGCTCCTAATTCACACAATTCCACATCGCTGACGCCACACCATGTCTTCAACCCTGAAGACCTGTGTTTTACAAATGTTCCCATGCGTGTGAACAGCTTTGGAAAACAGGTAATGTAGGGGATGGACAGAATGTGAGGTGGGGAGGTGTGCAGTTAGTCATGCAATGGCCTGCTCCATGGTTGCCATGGAGACTCGCCTACATCTAATCGACACTGCTGAGCGCTCAACTAAACAGGAAACTATCAAACATGATGTCAAGATAGACAAAAAGCAACAGATTAATCATTTTTTCCACGTTTTCATCCTCCAGCATCTGCTCTCGTTGTTAGAAGGTTGGACAATCATGGGGGTCGGGGTTAGGCTTGACTGTTGACTTTCCCTTTGTCAGGGCCCTTGGCCCATTTTGGAAACAAATATTTGTCTTAAAGTCTTTTTTTTTAACTTTAGCAGTTAATATAAAGCCAACTGCAGGCAGTTCAGTGATTCTGAGGTGTGAAAATAGAAGTGGGAACCACGTTTGGGCCCAGATATGACTCCAACCAGCGGAGAGTTGGCCCCCTGATGCCCACTGATTCCAGTTTTGTGAGGGCTCCTTAATGCTGCAATCGGTCAAATGTGGCTTTGATGCCAAGGGCAGTCACTTTCACCTCACCTCTGGAATTCAGCCCTTTTGTCCGTGTTTAGATTGAAGCTGCAATGAGATCAAATCACTCCCTGGCTTTAGCGTCACTGAATTCCCCCTCACTATCAACAGGGGCAGATTACTGACCAGAAACTGAACTGGTCCAGCCCATATATTGTGGCTGCAAGAGCAGGTCAGGGGCTGGGAATCCTGCAGAGAGTAACTCCCCTCCTGACTCCCCCCCAAAGCCTGTCCCACCATTGACAAGGCACAAGCCAGGAATGTGACGGAATACTCCCCACTTGCCCCGGATGGGGGCAGCTTCGACAACACTTGGGAAGCTCGACACCATCCAGGGACAAAGCAGCCCCCGGCTTGATTGGCCCCACATCCGCAAACATCCCACTGCCCCCCCCCACCACCGACGCTCAGTCACAGCAGTGTGTACCATCTACAAGATGCACTGCGGCAATAGGAGAGAGCGATCTAGTGTGGAGGGGAGAGCAGGCTCAGCAATTCAAGATGGCGGCACTGGCAGAGCCCACCTGCTCCAGGCCATCTGTATTTTTTATTCTCCCTCCCCTTTTCATTTTTTTTTTCTTTTTCTTCTTTTCTTCACCTTCCTGACAACGCAGGGAGGCTGGGGCGGTGTGGTGGTGACCACAATGGGGACACCTGGCTTCGCAGGCCTGATGTGTGGGCTCCTGGCGATGGGTCGTCGACTGTGGTGGTGTCAGTGCCTGGACTAGGGGCTCCTGGCTGCAGTAGGCCTGGAGCAGGGACTTTGCATAAGTCTTGGAGCTGTGTATGGCACTCCAGACGATGGAGATGAACACTATTTAAGTACTTTCTTTTTATTCTTTTGTACCTCAAAATAGCGGCGGATTG